ATAGGTATGAATGACGAAGGAGATTGATCTTGGTAATGACGACGACCACACACGAGTCAACTAATAATAATAATAATAATAATAATAATAATAATAATAATAATAAGCACAAATAAACAAAAAGGAAATGTATTAAAGCTATCTGCCCGACCTGGTTTTCTAACGATCGGTACCTTTGCGATTCAGGTATGTTTGCAAGGCAGCGGATATGGCAACGACTAGTGGAATAGGCAAGTTATTCAATTCGCTCTCTTTCTCTCTATCCTCCCTCTCTCTCTTCTCTCTTTCACACACATACGTATAGTAACGTACATTTCTATGTCCTAGCGGTAGATTCAATCGATTTTGCTTGTCCTACGTCGCGTTGTCAGCCGCGTGATCGGTACTCACATACGCACGCACACACACACACACACACATACACACACACATGGCATAGGCAGACAAGTGAGCCAGTGTATATTTCCATGTTCTATCAGAAGATTCATTCAATTTTGCTTATCCTATCGATGAAAGTACCGTGAGGCCAGCCGCAACACTGCGGAGTGTGGCAGTGTATATTCCCACGACAAAGCGCCAGATTCATTCGATTTTGCTCATCCTATCGATGGAAGTAAACGTGAAATCAGCCGCGCGATCCGCCACGCACACACTCACACACACACAAGTGTACACCCACATACACGCGTACTCACACACAAGCACATATGCACGTAGTAGTGTAGATTTACATGTTCTAGCGGTACAATCGGTCGATTTAGTTTATCCTATAGATAGGAGTACTATGAAGTGAGTCGAGAGAAGGAAGACTTACCTGTTTCTCGCTCTTCCCTCGTCATCGCCGTAGCCGGTTGTCACAGCTCGACGCGCCCTAGCAACGAAACGCAACATGATCCGTCTCGAACTGTCATCTCTTCCGTACGCCCGGACCATCGTCATACCCATCTGTACGGGCAGGTACGTATTCCTCCCCCCTCTTCTTCTTCTTCTTCTCGCACGCCTCGTTTCTTTCTTCTCCAGACCGCGTTCCTCTTCTCCATTCGCGCGCTCTTCTTTCACACTTTTGCGCATCCATCTCGCCTTCCTCTCTCTCTTGCGCTGCTCCCTGCTCTCTGTGCTCCCCCTCCCCGACTTCGTGATTGTGTCGACTAATCACTCCGTGCCCAGTCTCTTCTCACACCTGCCGCCCGTTAGCGTGCGCCCCTTCCTTCTCGCTCGCGAGTGTTACTTCCTCGCGTTTTTCATCTCTCGTTATGCGCCCGCTTCTTGAACATCTGCGCGCCCATCCTGCCGACCTGCACTACCCCCGCGCGATGCCTTCCTCCTCGCTCCGTGATACTAGCTTTGTCGAGCTTTGCGAAGGCGAGTCGGGCCGCCCCGGTCGGATCTCCAAGTCACCGACTGCGGGCTGGTCGAGTAGCCCTACCTCGAACGAATCCACCCTCAGTAGCCGATTAGATTCGTTCGAGTAAAACTCGTGAATTTGTTTCGTAAAACAAAAGAGGAAAAATAAAATAAAATAAAAAGAAATAAAGGAAAGCAGAAAAATTAAAAAGGAGGAAAAAGAAACAAACTGAAAACTGAATCTAACTTCTTACTTTCCACGTTGAGACAACCGTCGGATCCGGGGCCTATGCTCAACTAACCTCTAACTAACCCCCCTCCCAACACGGAGGTCACGGGTTCAAGTCCCGGACGTCCACACGCGGGGTGAAACTGAAGTATAACTCCTTGTCGAAAAGAACTAGCCGAACAGCTGGTGGTAAACGTTCCCTAGATCAGTCCCTTAGTAACCCGCGCCTATACCCATCGGGCTAGCTCCTAGTTCAAAAAGAATAGGGACAATCCTGCCAGAAGTAGGGTATAGGCTTGGTTCTTCAAGTATAACAGGCCCACAGCCTGCCTCCTAAGGTTAGTTTTAGGCCGGTACTGGCCGTCGCAGCCTAGCACGGTAGGCAGCACGACCCCTTTGGCTGCCCCGGCTGTACGGCCGGGACTTATATTAATTTCTCAAGCCTCCTTTTATCCGCCGGTTCCTTTATACCGACGCTTCCAACGTCCGTGGTCTTTGAACTAATTGACGCTATTGATCATGTCGTCTCAGTTCCCGGCTCATTTGGACTAAAGTCGTCGCTCCTTGCGCGACTTCTTTTTCTTCGACTAACCCTCTGTCCATTTGTGGTCGAAGACTTTATTTTCTAACCTTTTTTCTGTCTCTGCGCGTGCCGCAATGGCGCGCGAGGTAATCCGACTTTTTAATCCACAAATCTCACCAGTCTTTGCGTTCGCCACGACAAGGCAGGCGAGCATTGGAAAAAAAAATAAAAAAAATTAACCACCGACTCTAGTCTGTGCACGCCGTGTTTCGGCGCTTGCACTTGCAAAACTTTCTCGACCATAGCAGTTGAGGGATTCGCCCCATTTCCCGTTTTTAGCCGTCTTCAGTCTGTTTGTTGGTGCCGACGCTATGTCGACTATAAATTCATGAGCAGATACCCTTGTAAGGTTATCAGCTCCGACATCGGCGTCCGCGCTACGACCGGGCCTTCCCTTGGCCGACCCCCCTAAGGCTGCGGCGCGTATACGGGAAGGCCTGCGGCCGATAGCTGAGCGAGGTACTGGTGGTTTAAGTTTTCTAAACTCAACAACGGAAGGTGGCACATGGGCCTTAAACCAAAAAAAAAAAAAAAAAAAAAAAAGACCTGTAGTAGCATGTTCATATATAGGGCTTGCACAGCGTCTGCTTCAACCGGGTCTGAGCAGGGGTAGGGGTCTCTGCGTAGCCTGGGTGTGCAACCGCCTGGGTGGTTAACACTAGGGTAGGACAGGGGGGTGGCGGTGCACCAGGGCAAAAAGATGAGAGGAAGTGCAGGTGGGGTCTTCAAGCGGGGTTTTTCTAAGACAACCGAGTGGCCGAGTACTGTGGGCGACTGCCATCGGAAGGTATCCCGCCTTCAAACAACCTGGGCTTTTCTATGAAAAGAAAAAGGGCCTCATTCCACTACTCGCCATCCGGCACAAACAGTGGCGAGACTTGGGGAGGCCGAAAACTGCATTTTTTCTGGCGGAAAAAGGGTCTTGGTTCCATTACATAGCCGCTGCCACGTGCGCTGTGGTTGCTGTCCCGGCCTGCTCCCCGGACTGTGGCGGATGGCGAGCTAATGGAACCGTGGCCGCCTTCTCTTCACCATGTACTCGGACTGGAAATCGCTCCAGGTACAGCTAAAACTTGCCAACACTAGGGGACAACGCAGGTCGACTGTCAGGATGGTTGTGTCAGGGGCAATGGCCACACGAAGCATTTCACGGAGGGGTGAGGAGTAGAGCCTCCACGAAGGGCCGTTGCAGGCAGGGGAAATGGAAAGCCTTGGCGGCACATCGCCAAGTGATTTCACACCCAAATTTTGACAGCCTCCATTTCGTGGCTATTGGCGATGCAGTGGAACCAAGTCGCGTCCGCCATGCGTGGCGGATGGCGAGTAGTGGAACGAGGCCCAAAGAAACGATATATTGGCCACCTTGCAAATTCTTTGAGAAAAACAAAAACAAAAAGCCAACCCAAAGGAATCGGAAAAAAACAAGAGGGACGAAGCAGGAGGCGGCGCCGTAGCGCTCCAATCCTGCGACGCAAGCGCACTACCATTAGGGTTTCTTCACGGATCACGGAGTTTGAGCACCATGCCCCGGGGCGCTCAGCACGGGGAAGGTGCGTCATGTAGCCGTCAAGCTTCATGGTGAGCTTGAGCACATGTGACATGAAGTTGTCCTTGGATAGTGGCGAAGGGTGGTGGTGCTGCATGGGTAAGTGGCATATTTCCTCCGGGAATCTTTTGGAACTACTTCAACCTATTGAGCTGAAGATTGCTGCACTCGCCAGCGAGCTTTCTATGGAACTTGCACGCTCTCGGTCGTGACATCGAGCGTCCTGCTCTTCCACGACGGGTGGCACTTTGGCGGAGCTCACCCGCCAGCGAGCTTTCTATGGAACTTGCACGCTCTCGGTCGTGACATCGAACGTCCTGCTCTTCCACGACGGGTGGCACTTTGTCGAAGCTCTCAAGCTTCGGGAACTTTTGAACCTGTTTTTCTTCTTCTCCGCTTCGGGCTACCTTTCGGTATACGGAGCGGCAGATGACAACAAGTGGCAGTACGTGGTTTTCTGACTAAAGGCCGTAGAGAATTGCTGTTTTCTCTTGACATCGTGCGATCTTTGTGATATGAAGCGGGAGATGTTAGAAAGGTGGAACATACCTTCTCGACGGGGATTCCTCTGTGGCGTTGTGGTTCCCCTAATCCCATCCACATGCCTAGTCTTTTGACATCTTGCTGATCAGGATCCATTCACAAGAGATCTGCTTACCGAATCTCTTCGGATCGTCTTTCTCAGTCTTTTTTTTTTTTTTTTTTTTTTAAATCACCTTTTGTCATCATTCGGGGCAGCTGGGGTAGAGACGGTAAAGCACGCGGGAAAGCACAAAGATGTTTTGTCTGTTTCGGAAAATAGGAGACTGTTAACTTTGCTATTAGGGTTAATAAAGTCGGTTAGTTCCCCAGCCCTCAGGTGAGGCAATCATTTTGAGCACCCTTGCTTGCTGGTGTCTAACCATCTCTCTTTGTGGACTTTCTTTATTCCTCCGATCTGTTTTGTCTTCTTATGAGAGCTTCAAGTTGCTGTTTCCTGTAAGCCCTTGTTCCATCATCATAACCATTGGTGAGTTCACGGAGTCTCATGGGAACGTTAGTTTAATCTACAAAGACCTCTTGTACAAAAACTCTCCTTAGTCGGTGTAATCGGACCAGTGCTCTCATTCATAATCCTTTTCTTTTGATCTGCAGTTTATTAGATGAATGGCACCCGTTTAGGAACTTTCCTCAATCTAAGCTTCGTTTTATGAGCTTTCCCCTCGTAGTGGTGGTGAGAGGCTTGTAAAGGAAGTGCTGATGTTGGCGAGAGCTTGGGAGTAGTAAGCAGTCGGTGGGGGAGATAATGATCAAGCCGTGGCTGCAAGAAGGAACGTGAGAGTCAGCGACAGCGAGGAATCTTCGAGAAATCAGGAGCTCTGGCAGATTAAAGATAGAAGCTGCGGACTTCCTATGGAGTTAAATGTGCGGTGCTTGAACTGTGGGTGTGAACTCAGATGGGTATGTGTGATAGGGWGGTGCCATCTGCCTCAAAACGGTGATGGTGAGGTATTGAGAGTGAATGATGTCAATCTGAGCAATAGACGGGCGGGTATCCACAGTTCAGGGGGTGATAGTGACAAGGTCGATGATGATGATGATGATGATGATGATGATGATGATGATGATATTTATGATGTTAATGGTGATGATGACGATAATGGGGATATGAATCGATGGAATCAGAAGACTGGGGATGGCGATAATGAGGGTGACAATGAGTCGTTGGAATCGTTGGGACCACCTCAAAACCGTGATGATGATGATGAGGAGGAGGATGATGATGATGAGGATGGTGATATGAATTGTTGGAATCAGAGGACTGGGGATAATGGAAGGGAAGATGATAAAACTGGTCGGGGTGGTACAGTCCATTGGGATAAGAAGAGAAGTGAAGACATGAGAGTGGATTTCAAAGATTCCGGCGACAGGAAAGGCAGGGAGCAGAAGGAGGGCGTAGACAGTGTTGCAAAAGCTAGAAACCGGCAGGTGAGGAGACGAGATTGGAAAATCCCTTGGTGGAGAAAGAGAACG